CTAGATGGGTGACTTTGGGCCAATCACCAGGAGATGGCGAGTTCTAGTCCCGCCTTAGGCACGAAAGCTAGATGGGTGACTTTGGGCCAATCACCAGGAGATGGCGAGTTCTAGTCCCGCCTTAGGCACGAAAGCTAGATGGGTGACTTTGGGCCAATCACCAGGAGATGGTGAGTTCTAGTCCCGCCTCAGGCGTGAAAACTAGATGGGTGACTTTGGGCCAATCACCAGGAGATGGTGAGTTCTAGTCCCGCCTCAGGCATGAAAGCTGGCTGGGTGACTTTGGGCCAATCACCAGGAGATGGTGAGTTCTAGTCCCGCCTCAGGCGTGAAAGCTGGCTGGGTGACTTTGGGCCAATCACCAGGAGATGGTGAGTTCTAGTCCCGCCTTAGGCACGAAAGCTAGCTGGGTGGCTTTGGGCCAGCTTTAATTTAATCAAGACTAAATCTTATTAAATAGAATAGGTACACACTCTTCATTGCAAAATAGCGTTTTCTATTTGACAAATTGCCCATACTAAGATGTTGAGTCCTCAGCTTGGGACCAGCTCTACTACACAATGGATACAAGCTACTGTTGCTTGAGGACCATCTGTTCTACCGCTGGCTAATGGTATCTTCTATTTGAACAGAGTTTTGCCTTAGCCCATTGGAAAACTCAAGAATCTGAAGACACCCGGTTCTCACCACGGGCTGTGAAGCAATTCTAGCTACTGTCATTCTATACCAGGGGTAGGCAACCTTGGCTCTTTTATGACTCGTGGACTTCAACTCCCAGAATTCCTGAGCCAGCCACGAGTCATAAAAAGAGCCAAGGTTGCCTACCCCTGTTCTATACCAGATTGGCCAGGCAAATCTGAATGCAAAAAAAGCAGTAGGCAGACGTCAGCAATGCTCACATCCACCACGAGATGTCTCCTTCCTACTGGATCTCAGAAATACTGGTCTGATCTAACCTAGCTAGAACAGATCTCTACAAGGATTCTGGTACACAGGTTGAAGCAACGGATTTGCAAGGACTTCTACGGTTCAGCTCACCCAATCATCTGAGTCCACTAGGAGAAGGGCGGGATATAAATGTGATTAATAATAATAATCTTTGCAGCCTTGTGGTCGTTTGTTTAACTCCCGTGGATATAAAAGCGTGTTTCTCAATCTTGGCAACTTTTTTAAGATGTGTGGATTTTAACTCCCAAAATTCCCCAACCAGCTATGCTGGGTGGGGAATTCTGGGAGTTGAAGTCCACACATCTTAAAAGTTGCCAAGGCTAGTCTAACCCCTGCTTTGAAATGAAAAGGCATCTCTTGAAGCCTGGGTTTTCACGCAGCTTTCTGCACCACATGGCGGAAAAGATTGACTTCCAAGAGATTTTTTTCCCCAACCTGCCAGCCTAGCTTACCTCCTCCCCAGGCTGACCAAGTCTGAGCAGCTGTTTTGAGATCAGCCACAGTTAGCACGGTGCTTTACCTTTGCTAGGACTCCTTGGGAAGCCACATCTATGAATGGATGGAAGAGTTAAAGTCCTTCAACCAAGAAGCAGGAGGAAATGAATCTGCTGGATAAACTATCTGAAAGCAAGTTTCTACTTTTCTTTTGCTTGCAAATGGGAAGATGGGCAGATGTCTGTCTCACCTCCACATCGCTCAGGCAAGGTTGCTCTGAATCCCACAACTCTCCACAATCTGTTGAGGAATCCCGTAACAGACAAGGAGCGAATTCCCTGGAGTTTGTAAGAACGGTGGGATCCGTCTGACAGTTGCCACTGACCTAAATAACGCAGCTGCTTGCAGCTGCTAAAATAAGCCGCTTCCCTTCTGTTCTATTTTTTTTTTCAAGCCAATCTTTTTTTTTTAAAAAAACCCCCTTTCTATTTTAAGATGACTGTCTTTTAAAGTGTCACAGCCAGCAGCGGCACCTAGCTGATCTCAAAAAGCTAAGCAGGGTCAGCTCTGGTTAGGAATGGAATGGGAGGCCACCAGAAAGAGCAAAGCACAAAGGTGGGGCCGCCAAGGAAAGCACATTGGTGTGTCCACGTAGGCCACGTGCCTGGCTGAGGAATTCTGGGAGTTGAAGTCCACAAGTCATAAAAGGGCCGAGTTTGAAGACCCCTGAGGTAGGCACTTGGAGTTGAGCTCAGCTTGAAGGTTCTTGATTATTCAACGTATTCACATAGATATTAGATAAACTAATAATCCCAATTTATACTCTAATCCCAATTTATACCAACCCAATAATCCCAACTCTAATCCTAATTTATACCACCAGCAGAATCAAAGTCAGGTGCAGCCCTTTTCAAAAGATAAATGTGCTGAATTTAGATCAGTCCACCCGGAAGAGTTAAAAATGAACAGAGGAGAAGAAGTTCCATCTCAGCCAAATGATGTCTAGGGAGGCAGATGGGATGAAATACCCCCAAACTGAGCAAATGGCTAATTTGGTTAAAAGTAGGGGGGGTCTCCAAACTTGGCAACTTGTGGACTTTAATTCCCAGAATTCCCCAGCCAGCATGGCTGGGCTGGGGAATTCTGGGAGTTGAAGTCCACAAGTCGTAAAAGGGCCAAGTTTGAAGAACCCTGGATAACCCAAAACTCTTCACTTTTTTTAACTACACCCCCTTAATAATATAAAAACACGGTGCACATGTAAGCCAGTTTTCTGATGACTTTTAGCCTTAATTATTTCATGCAAGTTGAGGATGGGAGAAGTTATAATGCAACAGACTTGGTAGACCCAAAATTCAAAGCAGGTATAAGCCACAGGTAGTAAGGCTCCAATTCAACTCTGACCCATCATAAATCCAAGATCGAAGATCCCCCATCTATATTCCTGGGAGTAAATCTTATTGCTATGGGATATTCCAGAATCAAAATCCACAGGAGCGGGCTGTTACGTGCCCTCCCTCCATTAGCTTTTTAAAAACACACAGAATTCTTTATTGGCCAAGTGTGATTGGACACACAAGGCATTTGTCTCTGGGACACAAACTCTCCGTGTACGCACAAACAAAGCAATAAGCCATAGATTATAAATCATAAGATACAATCATAATCATAAGATACAAGTGATAAATCATACCACTAGGAGAAGGTAGTAGGAAAGACGAGAAGGTAAGAAAGATAAGAAGATGACATATCTTATTTGAATGAGAGAGAGGATCACAAGATCCATAAAGAAGAAAATCTCTATGAACAAAATAGTTGTTGTTAGTTGCGAAGTCGTGTCTGACCCATCACAACCCCATGGACAATGTTCCTCCAGGCCTTCCTGTCCTCTACCATCTTCTGGAGTCCATTGAAGCTCGCGCCTCCTGCTTCAGTGACTCCATCCAGCCACCTCCTTCTCTGTCGTCCCCTTCTTCTCTTGCCCTCCATCTTTCCCAGCATCAGGCTCTTCTCCAGGGAGTCCTTCCTTCTCATTAGGTGGCCAAAGGACTTGAGTTTCAACTTCAGGATCTGGCCTTCTAAAGAGCAGTCGGGTTGATCTCCTCTAGGACTGACCGGTTTGATTGCCTTGCAGTCCAGGGGACTCGCAGGAGTCTTCTCCAGCACCATAGTTCAAAGGCCTCAATTATTTGGCACTCAGCCTTTCTTATGGTCCAACGTACATTCTCCTAAAGTGAATCAACTACAGAGTCTAACATAACCCAACTATTAGAGGCCAAGAGTGAGGCTTCAGTAATATTTGAAAGCAAACCCCCAATTGGCTACGTTGAAGTGTTTTAATTCATCTTCAGAAAAAGAAAAGTTCAGGTAACTGAAAGCAATGTTATTAAACAGGTTCTGCAAATATCTGGTGTCCACACAGAATAAACTTAAGAGGAGACTCAGAAACTGATTTCAGGGGGCTTAAATTAACTCATGGTCGTAGGGCTAAAATGTATAAATCCAATATTTGGAAGAGAATACCACAGCAGCCAAAAGATCTCACCACTCGCTGTTTTTTCTACTTAGCTGATTACAAAAAAATGACTGCCCATCTTGCCTGTTCTGAGAATAGGAATTTTGTAACATCCGATTACATCAATCTTTCTGAAACAAACAAACAAAAAAAATGCCAGAGACGTAACCCACAACGTTCTGAATGAAGAATGCGCACATTTTGATCAAATGTATGGATTCTTGCAAAATAGACAATTGTAGAGCAAATCCTTTTTTTAAAAAATAAACAACTTATGCAATGAAAGCTAAAGTCTTCTACTAGCCCACGTACAATCAATCATGAAGATATATTAAAGGAAGACAAAGTCTTGTAGCAACTTAGGTCTGCTAAAAATGGTATGACTACTGTACAGCTAAAAGTTTTACTCTCCTCTCCTCATTCTTCCGAACTAATGAGTACAGATAAATGAAGACACAGACTCTAATATGCATTTTCCTTTTTATTTCAACACTATGATTCAAGAGCCTATAATGCTTTTCCCTTTGTACTTCTGCATGTAGCACTGCAATCATAACTTACAAAAGGTTTAATACACAAATGTACATGAAATTACAATACAAGGCTCTGTAAACATCTAGAATGTAACCTTTAGTCTTAAATCATTATTGTCCCAAACTGTTAAATAGAAAATTTCAATTTGAACAATCTCCAAACCTCAAGGAATGACATTCATTCTATGTATCAAAAATAGAGCTTTTTTCCCCAAGATTTGTTTGCATCCAAGCAACTGTTTTCTCTTTTATTCTTTGGTTTACAATGGATGGCAATTCCATTTTCTAATGAAGCATTTATTAGAAGGAGCGCCAAATTGTGATCAAACTTTGGTTAAACCAAAACAACTTTCAAAACGGGCAACATATATATATACAGTATATATATCTCACCTCCTTTGTGTTACAAAAGCCTCCACTCTTTTGTTATGAAAGCTATCGTTTGAACACTTTCCATAACGTTTAAAAATAAAAATAAAATTGGACGCCAGCATCGAAAGCAAATTTGGAGAGGCCAGCAACATAGATGCCAGTCACAGGCAGAAAATTGTAAATTGCATAGTCTAACGGAGATCGTGTGCTTTTATCTCTATTACATTACACAAGATTAACAGTCTTACCTAAAGCATCACACAAGCCAAAAGTATATATATATATTAAGACCCTTGTATTGAAGCTTTTACAAAGGCAAAAAACCACCATTATAGTACTCAACTTCTATAGCTTTGCTTTAAATAGGAAAAGCGTTCCTACGTCTACAGGCATCGGGTATTTCAAGGCAACAGAAGGTTGAAGACAATCCACTACTCCCTTGGCTGCAAACTCTCCATCTCCTTCAGCATCTCGCCAACCGGGGGGGGGGGGGGAGAGGAGCTGACACTGCAGTGCCAGGTGGATTGCTCACTTAGTGCATAGTAACTCAGGACTGTTTGGGTGCCCACATTTTAGGTACAAATACAAACTCACACTAGGCGGGAGAACTTTAAGGGAGAAGAGGCGACACCATCCATCATCTCAGAGCCCAATACAAACTCTTAAAACTTCACATCTGACCCCCTCTGTCTGAGAGAACGGAGATAACCTTGAAAAAAGGAATGCAAGAATTGTTAAGTAAATCTCAACTTAACCTTGGGAGGGAAGAGGGGTTGGGAAAGAAACTCTCATTCCACCTTGATTCTCTTGGGTATAAGAGGGGAAGCTCCGTCAGGCTTTCCAGATCATTCCGAGACCCTCCAGCAATAAAGGAGAGTTCCTTGTAAGTCTTTTTTTCCTCACTTGGCTAAAGCTGGAGGCTTGACACATTTTAAGAGCTGAAGACGGTAAAAGAGGTGATAGCACAGAGAAGACATTAAAAGTCTTAGGACTCCTGAAAAAGGAATGAAGTACTCCGGTGTGCAACTAGCCATACTTTACTCGGCATGCAACTGGTTGCATTTGTTAAACAGAAGACGGATTTACTTCCAAAGAAACGGTCACATTTGAGATGACCATTGTTTGGTTTCGGAAGCTCATGCGTGGCCATTTTGACTACTGCAGGACAATCAAAAGGATTGTCATTTTGGATCGTATAGGATCTCTGAAATGAAGATAAAGAGATCCACCGTGGTGGGGATGGGCAGGGAAGAGGATGCTGCGTCAACTTAGGAGTCGCCCAGATGACATGCCCACTTGACCCAACACTCAAGACAGCAACTAGAAAAAGGGAATCTTCCTTGACATCTTAAAAGCTGATACTTTTTAAAAAAAAAACACAAAGATTTGTTTCAGCCATCATCTTAGTGGGGTCCTTGGTGCTCTTGGAGCTTGTTTGTTTTCTTGCAGACGTTTCGTTACCAAACTAGGTAACCTCACCAGTGCGTGATGATGTTACCTAGTTTGGTAATGACACGTCTGCAACAAAACAACCAAGCTCAGGGAGCCCACAATTCAACGCTGAGCGATAAATATTCTCTTCTAATGACATCACCGTTGTATTTTAAAGAGTCAAAACTGTGTGATTTGAAAAAAACCAGATAAACAGTTCCGGGAATTTTTTTTAATGCAAACTATTTTAGCACTCAAGGCAGGTGTCTCCTAAAGTGTGCAAACCCATCTGAATCTGCTTTATTTTACTTCATCCTGAGATAGTAGGGCTAGTTGCAGACTAAGCAGTCAATGTGGCCTGCCAATAATGACAGTTAAGCAACCGTCTTAATAACTAAATTGTGGCTTTGAGTTGCCATATTCCTTTCATAAAAAAGTGGAGACTGCTTAAAAGTCAAGAAGCTTGCTGAACGAAGACAGATACTTCATCCTTTATCAGCCTGTTGCCAGTTGCATGAGGCTACAAAACCTATCTTGTTCCTATCAGTTAAGACTTAGGTAGCTATAAAAATTAGCTAAACAATGACAGAAAACAGTACACCAACTATCTTAACCCTTGTGGTTCTCAAAAAATCCTTTTAGTTATCTTTTCATTTTGCAGCCTCCTGACCCATTTGCTTACCTAATCTCGAAACATCTTGATTTTCATTTGACAGAGGAATTAACTCTTATTTAGTAGAAATTCTCATCGGCCAGGGTTGGGTTTTGCATCTCTCGTGTTTCAAATCAGAGACGGAACCCCACCTCTATAAATCTCACCGTGGTGGGAAATATTAACCTAACATGCATAGGTGGTCACAGGCAGCTTCACCCTCAGTGGTCACAATGCAGACATGTCCCTGTTCAGCGAGCTGCCTTGATCAGCGCTGTGAAGTACGTATCTTACAGTAAGAAGGCCCAGCTACATTCCTTTTGTTATACAAAGCTGATTTTTTTAGTGGATGAAAAACAGTAGGATCACTAAACCATGAAGAAAAGACTTTAAGAAGCCCATATAAATGCCAACATACATTTTCAGACACATCTAACAGGGGAAAAAAAAACCAGAATAGACCATGTGAAGTTCTCTACCTGAGGAATCTCAAGAACAGCAGTTTAACAGTTTAAACAAGTCTGATCAAAAGGACTCCATGTGGAACACAGCCTTTTGACATAGCCCAAAATTGTATAATGGCTTCATTAAAAACGAGCACGTATATAAATAGTTTTGAACAAGTGCTTCTGTTAGAACAAGGTCTGTGCTAGCAAAGGTATGAAGGTACAAAAGTCAGGTTTTGGAATGTCATTTCTATCCCAATCTTTCCACGACGGAATGGTCTCTTTGCAGCCTACCAAACTTTTTCAGTGTCTCAAGAACACAGATCTGTATTTGGCTTTGCTTCCTAAAGCTCCAAAGAAAACGATAATCATTATTCCTACGTTAAGACTTCCAAAGGCATTGCTTCAGATGATAGATACTTCTGTGCCTCCGAAAGACAGCATTATTATATTATTATTATTATTATTATTATCATTTAAAAAAAAACTTTTTTTAAACCACATTATGCCTAAAGGCTCTTCAAAAAGACCGTCCAAAAGGTATACAAATTTTTATTACAATCTTAGTATCTCTCCTAAAGAAAAGCAGCATACAAAGATGGTGTGTTTTTTTAAAAAAAAAAAAAAAAATTACCCACATTCAGTAACTGTGCATATTGAGAGCAAAACTACGTTTCTCCATACAATTAAGCACTTAATATAAAAGAATTATGTTAAATGCACAAGACGAGCAAAGCTCATTGGTATTTTTTTTTACTCAAAGTTAAGAGTATCTTGGGTCACTTCTTGGTGTCCATTTTTATAAAGTAGCTTTTTTATTTTATTTTTTTTTATTTTTTTATACGGCATCCTAAAAATCTAGAAGTCAACCTGTTTGCCTGTTACCACTCTCTCTCCCGCTCTCTCCCAGGACAGCTCTGCAGGGGATCCAGAAGTGTCCAGGATCATCAAGGCCACGTAATCGGAAGCACAGTAAATCTAAAGAGGGACATAGCATTATTCAGAGGGAAAGTGCAAGGCTTCCTGGTCGTCTCCAGGTTTCCGCAGGACGGCAGCTCCTGCCCCACGGGACGCAGAAATCTGCGGCATGTCTCTTCCGATGATTTCCGTCACTACATCAGAAAAGGAGAGAAGGATCAGCATGGTTTTTATGTCTTCCATAAACATCAGTTTCAGAGTAATGCGTGTTTAGACACCCACCCCCCCCTCCTGCAGTGCTGGTTACTTCCAAACCGGTTGAGACATCTACTGCAATTCGCTTTTCACGGATCTGTCCTTGAAGATTATCTGAAAGCTTTTAACTGATTCACCGTGCGGCGTATACATTGAATAAATAAATACAATGCAGCAGCCCAGGGAGTGATGGGCACAACGAGGTCAGTCCCTGTAGCGGCATCTATATTCCTGGAGCTACATCAGCTGCCAGTTGGCGTCAGGCTACCATTTCAGGGGGGCAATCGTCCCCTTTAAAGTCTCTGGGTGGCTCAGATCCTACTTCTAGACAGCCTGCTCCAAAATGGCCATTTTGAAAGATCTGGCTGAAAGGTCTTCTCAGCCCTAAGTAGTTCCATCATAAGAGACTCCATAACTAGGTCTTCCCAATGCATACAGATTATCCCACTGAGCTTCCGCCGAGAAGTAAAAACTTCTGGAAGTGGGCATTTGGAAGGTGCTACGGTTGGGATCTACCCCAGGTTAGGCTGCACTTTATGGCTCAAACAAGTAGTCTTTGAGTTACGTCCAGTCACTTAGTAACAGTTAGAAGCTACACTGGATCTTCAAATCAAGAAGGAAGAGCCCACGCAAAACATTTTAAAATGTTTTTGGTTGTTGAGAAGATGCTGGGAAGTCAGAGGGACAAAACTTGACCTGCTGCTCACGAAACCTCTAAGAATTAGGTAAAGTTTCCCTTCTTTCGTGGCCGTTCTTTAAAAGCCATTATCCAAACCTAGTTAGGGATACGAACAGGAGTCAAAAGTATTGACTAAGAAACGAGAAGTATGGCTGTTTCAGCTTGGAGAAATGTCCTCTGTTGTTCAGCTCCCCTTCTCCCTTCCTTTTCACAACATGGTCTAGTTGGCTGAAAACGGACAGCCGTTTCCATGAGCGTTTCAGGCAGCCAAAATCGAGTATTGCATTTGCTAGCTTTCTTTATTAATAATAATAATGATGATGATAAAGTTGGAAGGGACCTTGGAGGTCATCGAGTCCAACCCCCTGCTCAGGCAGGAAACCCTACACCATTTCAGACAAATGGCTGTCCAGTCTCTTCTTAAAAACTTCCAGTGTTGGCGCATTCACCGCTTCTGGAGGCAGGTTGTTCCACTGGTTAATTGTTCTAACTGTCAGGAAGTTTCTCCTTAGTTCTAGGTTGCTTCTCTCTTTGGTTAGTTTCCACCCGTTGCTTCTTGTCCTGCCTTTCTGAAAGCTTATCATCCCTGCTCATTGTTTGTAAAATAAAGATGCAATTGGCTGTCTCAAAGAGGTCCCAACTCCGTCTCCGGCTGCAACGCCCCACGGCCATCAGATGCAGAGGGCCAACAGTGAGGCGTTCTGGGAACATCCCTCAAAATAGATGTGGACAAGACTCTGATGGGCTAAGCCAGGGGTAGTCAACCTTGGCTCTTTTATGACTCGTGGACTTCAATTCCCAGAATTCCTGAGCCAGCTAAGCTGGCTCAGGAATTCTGGGAGTTGAAGTCCACGAGTCATAAAAGAGCCAAGGTTGACTACCCCTGGACTAAGCGATGATGCAGCACATATGATTACATCCCCCACCCCTGAACACTGTTCTGTCTCGGCTTATTTGTCACTGATCCCAAACATTTGGCAACCTTTGTTCTTCAGAAGACTTCAAGGGACTGACAGCTTTATGATTGTAAAAAGGTCAGATTTCTATTTGCCAAGCTCAGGATTTGGTAGAAACTCTATTCCTCATCTTATCTTTTGTTTTATATATATAGAGAGAGAGCCTTTTTTTCCTGAACTACAAGCTGCTTATTTATAGTCTGGTGCCCCCATTTTTTAAACCTTCCTGAAAAGCATATTAAAATTTCAGCCTTCCATCCTTCTGAGGCCGGTAAAATGAGGACCCAGATTGTTGGGGGCAAATAGGCTGACTTGTGTAAACCGCTTAGAGAGGGGCTGTAAAGCACTATGAAGTGGTATATAAGTCTTATATTCTGCTGGCTGTATTCCCAAATTGAACTCACTCAACACAGGCTTGTCCCTACAGAAACCTAACCACACAACCCAAAGGTAGGAAGATGCAAAGCAGCGCAGGGTTAAAGCGTCTTCCACTCCAAAGTCTTTTAAGAAAGAAATAAATCTGCCCAAAGAGCCCAGAAACACGAAGAGCTAATCTATTCGGTGGGATTCCTGAATTCTGCTTGTATCCTGCGCTGCCCCAAAATTTATTCTATTTCCACACACAAACACTTGAGGTGTTAATGTGTTCTTGGCAGAGTTTGGTAACAGCGATGAGCTTTCAGGAGACTCCACTGTACATAACGGATCACATGACATATTCTTCTGGGATTATGTGTCTTTGTTTGGGATTTAGGACACGTTGATGTCTCCATCCGATACCGATATTTTTTTTCTCTCTCTCTCTCCACAACTCCTATCCCTACGGAGTTGCAACCCAACTCTGAAAAGACTGCTGCCAATCTGAATTTGGATCAATGTTATTATATTATACAACATGTTATTTACTGCAAAATAGTCAGCCGGATTGATTTCAGGCAAGGTTTTTTTTGTGTTTTTTTTTTAAACACACTGACATGACTTCAGTTTTCTCTTGCAATAAGAATGGGGAGGGGGGGGGAAGCAAGGGTTATAAAACTAACCGTGTGAAGATAAAGCCTTAGCTGCACTTTTAACGTCCCCTTTCGCGGAAGGCATCCTGCAAGCGCCGTGCCTTCTTAGTCACGCATCCACTTCGGTCTTTATAAATTATGTACATTTTTAAATCCCCAAAAAGAAACAGGGCTTATAAATAGTTTCCCCCCCCTTAGAAATGAACTAGCTATCTCAGGAAACATTTGAACTACGACCTCTGCTGCCAGACTGGAGAGCTTTTTTTTTTTCCTTTCATTTTAATGCTGGAGTGTGTCTGACAAATCCAGAAAAACATGTTTGGCAAAAGCCTGGTAAGTATGACCTTGCCTGGGAGAAAAGACAAACTCAAGAGCTATTCCAGGTTGCTGCTCAGCTTCTTGCTCTCCACCAATTAGGAGAAAGGAGAAAGCAGGGCTGTGGTTTTGGAGTCTAGTATCTTGCTAATAAATATAGCAAGGGAAACTTAAATGGCACTGTAAATATATATAGTCACACGGCTTGAATTAAGTACCAGACAGATACAGAGTCTTATTTTGAGAAGAAAATATAATCGGATGGGTATTGCTGAAGCTGGAGGAGGATCTCAGAACTGGAAGGTTTATTTTTTTGAAAAATATATATATATATGTGTGCGTGATCCAATTTCCCCCTGAATACTATCTTTTTTTCTGATAAATCAAACGGAAAGAAGAGGAGCATATATATATATTAACCAGTGGAACAACCTGCCTCCAGAAGCGGTGAATGCACCAACACTGGAAGTTTTTAAGAAAAAATTGGACAGCCATTTGTCCGAAATGGTATAGGGTTTCCTGCCTGAGCAGGGGGTTGGACTAGATGACCTCCGAGGTCCCTTCCAACTTTATCATCATTATCATTATCATTATCATATATATAAAAAATGCACATATTTACCCAGAAATCTGATAAAAAGAAATCTAGGAAAGTTGGGAGGAAAGCATTAAAAAGGATGAAACTGTAATCGCGTACAAAATCAAAAAAACACACAGATGATCCTTTTTTTGAAACAAACGATTTAACCGGAGCATTTAACCAAGCCATGATGGCAGTGGGGGATTTTAATCAGTTTGTTACCCAGAGACTATGCAGGTGTCACACTACAATCATATCCTTCTTGTACTGTGCAGAAGCTGGACTGAATGATCTTCGAAATTTCTTCTCATTCCCATCATAATACTGTAAGCCACAATGAGCTAAATTGTTCGATTTTTGCCTTGCCGTGTTGAGGATGAACCCCATACTATGGTTTCTAACCACGGCCTATGACCAGAAGCAGAAAGCTTGCCAATGGTTAAACATGATGACATATTTGTGAGTGAAGCAGACACGGCACTTTAAACTAGCTTTGGAATGAGACCTTTCCTTAGGGAATTACTTCTTTCGAGAAATAATCAGGCATAGTTAACAAGGACTTCAACCACTCCAGCTAATCACCAGAAGATCACTGGAAGCATTGGGTCACCAGGTCCCAAAGATCAAAAACACTTTAAAGTTACCCATGTTTCTCAAATTTGGCAACTTTAAGATGTTCCTAATGTTATTTGACAACTAATGAATAAAGCATCCTAGATGGAAGTCCTTGCCCAATCTTTCTCAGTCTTCATATCTGTATTCTTCACACACACACACACATGAACGCAACTAAGACATGCTCATTCAAAAATGATTGAGAATGGACGTAATCACCCAATATTCATTCACTGATTGGCCACTGAATGAATATATGTGGGGTTGCTCTCTCTGAACTCTTGCTATTTTGCTGATATTAGCTGAACAGCTGTCCCAAAGGTGCTTTCGTCTTAAAGGCCACTGGACTTTTGGATTTTTCTTTGAAGATGTTTTTGCTTCTCATCTAAGAAGCTTCTTCATTTCTAAGTGAGTTCTAGGAAAGATCGTGAAAGATAAGGACATTCCCCGAACAATGAAATCAACAATGGCCTTTCCAATAATGATAATGTATGGACATGAAAGCTAGGCGTTGAGAAAGAGTTAAGAGGAAAAAAGATAAAATATCTTTGAACAATGGATTTGCATATATTTCTTGTACTAAAAGTCCCACGTAAACAAAATCTAAGAATTCTAAAAGATGTTTTTATGCAAGCCTGATGTGCACCAAGTTCTAAATGGGGAAGGCCATCCCTAGAGTCACGTAATGTTCAAGTGTTCTGCGCTCCCAGGGGAACAGGATATTACAATGGCCTGGAAAATACGATACCTGAGTTCACATATATGTACGGCATCCGTAATAATCCTTCCTTCCTTATATGAGGCCTCTAAAAGTACTAAGCTGTTTAACCATATTTTCCTAACGTAGCATCACTTACCATCATCTAACGTGATGTCTTGCAATCCCATTGTCTGAAAATTTAACTCTTGATCTTCTGGTTCAGGCTTAACATGAACGGCTGACCCTTCTGATGGAAATGGAGATGTGTCACATATGTTATGATGCATCAAAGATGAAGCTGTGGCGATTCCTCCCAAACCTGGGCTATGCTCCTGTGGGGACTGTTGCCCAGGCTGACTGACAGAGGCTGGAGGAGGAGGAGGAGGAGGAGGAGGAGGAGGAGGAGGAGATGAGGCAGATCCCGAGCTAGAAAGATGGTAAGGTATAGGTTGCAACTGTGGCGAAGATGGCCCAGACCGTGGTGAATGGACTAAAGAATGAGAAGAGTTGGGGGATGATGAGGAGGAGTTACCTGGATTCGAAGAATAAGTCATTTGCTGCAACTGTGTGGAAGGATGTCCAAGGGACTGAGTCACTGCGGAAGAGACAGGACTATGCTGAGGATCGGGACAATGGTACCGCATGGGCTGCAAATGAGGTGAGGAGTGTCTCGAGTGAGCTAGGTGTGCTGAAGTATGTCCTCCTGTTGCAACAGAAGTTGACACTGAACCTGAACTTGAAGAAGGATATGGGATTGGTGGCAGAGACTGACAGCCGAGGTTGAGCAGTGGAGGTACGGGTGCATCTTGCTGAAAGGACATTGCCTCGTAGCCTTGACTAGAAGAGGCAGGATCCATGGGAAGACCAGATTGTCCATTAAACACAACGTTGGGCTGCATAGGCTGGTAGGGAGGCCCCACAGAGGATGCCGCCGTTACCTGAAAAGACGGATGGACTACAGCTGAAGACAGAACAGGGTGATCTTCACCTGGACTAATGCTTCTACCTTGTATGTGGGACAACTGAGTTACTGCGGAGGAGACCATGGGCGTGAATGGCTGCTGTATGGGACATACGAGGTTCCTGGAGGACGCAGAAAGTAAACTATCGTGTGAGAGCCCTGGGTCAGGTGAAGGCAACTGGGTTTGGACAGGAGAGAGTCCTTTACAGCGAGTCAGGGACAACGATGGAACTGAAGTCAAATCCATTTCATCTCTGTTCTCTTGTTTCAATACAACTGTGTAACAAGAAAACAAGGATCAGCTAACGTTCACCGATGAAATGATAAACAGAACTCAAGTCGTTCTACCCTTCCCCCCCCACATCAAAACTAGCATGCGCATGAATGGCAGTTCTAATGACATTAAAACTAAAAACGTGACTCCTGGGTGTGATCATCTTCAATAAATAAGCTGTGAGCACCAGGAGTATATTAAACTAAAAAAGTTTAATAACACAAAACATATACACACCAAGCTTTCGTCGGAATCCTTCCGACATCGTCAGGGTTAAATGCCAGTCCATACGGGAGTCCCTTTATAAGCCACCCATCGTCTGCGCCCGGCTCCTGGACCTCGTCACCGGTCCCAGCCGATTGGGCTGCGCCTTAATTGCAGCTTTCACACAGATGACTAATCTTTTCTTGCCTCCCCTGCCTACGTGTGTGGCATTGCTAACTGCCTCTGCCTGTGGCCTTGGGTCCGGCGCGCTCTCTCCCCCCCCCCTTTTTTTGATCATACAAACTCTCCATATCCTCCAATTCCTCCCCCTTGAATGGCAGTGAATATACATGAAAAATGAATACACATGAAAAATGCAGTTAACTACGACATACTTGAAAAGGATGATATGAAATATATTGGCTTATTCTGGGATAATACAGATCAGGGTTTCCTCATTATAGTAACAGGAATTAAAGAACGACATTCTGGAGCTGAGAATTTTGAGCTTGAGTAGAGTCTCATTCAAAAACGGTTTGGAATCTATGACTGTTCACCAGTCCTGAATGTACATTTTCTGACATGGTTTATCAGAGAACTGAGAACCACAAGACATAGGCTGTCGGAGTTTACTACGGATCAAAGATCGCAGCAAAGGCCTTCAGCTCCATGCTTTTCTTATTTCTAACCTTCAAACAATAGTTTATTCACCCAGAATTAGAATTTAAGATGCAAAGCTGCCTTGCTCCTCATTTGCAGTCCTAGTTAGAAACTTGAAAGTAAACTGAAATACTTTTTTTAGTTTTTTTAACTTATCTTTTTCGCCGAGCCCTGAAGGCCCATCTATTCCGTGCGGCCGGCCTGGCGTAGTCTGATTGTGTTTCAGTGGGGTTTTTTTTGTATGGGTGTGTTTTTAGAACAGGCCTATTATTTAATTCGATTTTAAAACAGAAACTATTTATTTATTATCGTGGTTTTTTAGTATCGCCTGTTCACCGCCCTGAGTCCCGCAAGGGAGATAGGGCGGTATATAAATTTAATAAATAAATAAATAATAAATAATTAACTTTATAAACAACTCAAGGATGCAAACGTACATAATACTCTTTCCTCCTTCCTCCAGCTCTCTGAGGTGGGATGGGCAGAGTGAGAAATCACTCAGCCAGCTTTCATGCCTAAGGCAGAACTAGAACTCACTGTCTCCTGGTTTCTAGCCTGGCGCCTTAAAAAAAAAAAACACAGTTCAATTGACGCTAGGAAAAGCATTCAAAATTCCTCTTTAAGATTTTTTTTCTCCGATTCATACCTAGTTTTCTACGTAAAATAAGCAACATATCTCAGAATCAGGGCAACGGACTAGAGACATTTGAAAGGAAAAAAAACAACCATTCTCACTCATTTCTTTGCCAATAATCGGTACCTGGAGTATATGTGAAACGCTGAGCCTGGCTTTTTTTCCTTTTGCCGTTGCACACATAGAACTGCACGTGGACGGCGGCTGGAATTGATTTGTTGTGATACGGAGGAACTTCAAGAACGAGCGCAGCCTGTGTAAAAATGAATAAAACGACAGAAAAAAAGACTGGAGTGTGTCTCAGAAGGATTTTTTTTCATCACCTAGATAAGCCTCCACGTCTTCATTAGACCTGAGAAAGTACATGCTGTATTCCCTAAAGCCATTTTTTTTAAAAAGAGCTTCTCGGCGTTGACAGCTTTTTACAAGCTAATTTTTTCTAAGGAAAAGTGGCAGGATGTTTTGGAGTCTCCCACCTATGGGTTGGTTCTACTTCAAAAGACAGGGAAGAGACCTCACGAAGCTATTGTCTTAAGTGCAGGACCATGCTTTTACTGAGTACTTATATTCTGGTCCATATAGATCCATGTAACCTTGTATAGCTCTATGTAACCCTAATGTTAGTAATAGGTCAGTGGGAGGAGTTTCAAAGGGGCTTTGGGAGACTTCTTTGGGCACAAGCCAGTTTGGAATGTCTTTGTCTGAGAGAAGCATGGCCCATCAGATGTCACCCGATGAGCCTGTACTGCTATAGATATGGTATGAAGGGAGAGCTTCATCTTTTTACCGATAGAAATGAACAGGAGATGTAATATCAGAGGCATTCGTCATAAAGGCAAGTAACCTATCTGATAATAAATATATTTCTTGTTATGAAATCATTTCTTGGAGTGTCTATCTGCTTTGATTTATGGAACGTTTTAAATCAAGGTCAGAATAACTTACCTATTCTAATCAATATAATTTTCCAAAATGTTAAGCTTACTAAGCTAACATCTGCACGCTGAAGACACCAATGGGGAAAGGGGACGGAGTTGGCACTTCAGTTTCTGAAAAAGGTTTTACTTCTAAGTTCCCAAGTTTGTGAACCAAACCTGGCAGCTGCTGTATCTTTATTATTCCTATGCTATTAGTGTTTACTTTCTGCACATCATTTTGCCCTTTCTAGTCTCCCAAGACTGAAGGTTAATTTTTTTTCTATTTAATATTACATCATTCACCACTTTAGCCTTCTCCTCCTAAAAACCTGGCTCAAATTCTGCTAATGTTTTTGCACAATTGATGTAAGTGTTAAAGGGGGGGGGGGAGCTGCCTACGTCATGTTTAATTTTCCACCAGGATCTTTACAGAAATCAGTAAAATAATTTTGTACTTTTTTTTAAAAAAAAAAAAAACCTCACCTCTTGACTCCTATCTCTTATTATTTTTCCTTCCACCTCCCATTGGGGCCGTCCATCTACAAAGACAAAAGTTTCAGGTCGCATATCAGTTTTGTTCTAAAATAACTCAATTATTAAATACATACAAACACACAGTGTGCAGCTCTTAATAGTGTTCATTTGAAAACGAGACTTGTACTCGTTGCAGACATATATTAGTATTTGGCCATGCAATACCTATCTTGAGTTTCATTCCATTGCCTAACAGAAAAAGGTGTCTCCCTCCGTGTACATGACTGGTTCTAATTGTACAAATCTTTCAAGTCAAAGAGAGGTTAAATCTGTCCAGTTTAATCAAGCAATAAGAATAAATGAATCTACAAACAGACAGTAGTTCTTACTGTTCCACGGTCCTATCTCGAAATCTACAAACTGGAAATAATCCAAAATAACAAGGCAAGCAGATTGTTACAATCTGCCCCAACACTGGAACCCAAAGTCATCTGGATCTGATTGATTTCCTTTGCAAACAATATGGAAACTGCAAGGAGTCACTGACTGCTCTGGCACTAAATGCCCCCCCCCAATCATGATAAAAGAATTGCTGCATATCCCAAAAAATATGCAGCAATGGAGAACTAAAAACTCAGTACCTCCACTGCTGCAGAAGACAACTTTAAATACATTTCACCCTGTGTTGGATCTGAGCCATCTTGAAAAGTTCTCATCTTACACTTACACAACCGTCAGGTCCACAGTTAAGCATGGGGCTGATCTGGCTCAATGGGAAAAGAGCACCTATAAGCGATGCCAACTGGATACACTAGGAGGGTACCTAAATGCAGGTTCCTACATTTCTCACCGCTGAACTGCATTGTCTTGGATAGGGGGTCAACTCTATCGAGTTCCTTTTGAATTCAGACAATGTTGCACTTCATTGCAGGTTAAAAGGACGCCGTACAAAAATAGACAACGTGATTGAATGCAACTTAAGAGACTCTGGTATGTTCCTCCAGAAATAAACTCTTTCTTGAAACTCTTACTTGAAACAGGTGAACTTACCTTGCCCCTTTTCCAGAAATATTATTTTTGACTCTGGAAGGAAGTTGCAGCCTGTAACAATCATTTCATGGCCTCCATTTGCAGAGCAATTACTGATGCTGTATTTCTCTATCTGAGGAAGTTCCTGAGCAGATCTCTGAGCTTTATGAAAGAGAAAGAGAAAAATGCATAAGAAAGTATACACATATAATTCTTATCGTCTCTCTCTCTTCTCCCCGCCTTCGCCATTTTTATTTCACACGTACAACACGCTTTCCTATATGTAGTTGAACTATAGTTTAATCTGTTTACTTACAGAATTTCTGAAATTGCTTGACACACACTATGAACTAACCCTACAATAACAACTCATACAATAACAACTCATAACAACTTACCACAAATAAAGCATTTCATGATTAGTACTATTTGATTAAGAGAGACACAGAGAAACTTATCTGTCTCAGAAACAAAATCCACAAATGAATATATCAGAATAAGTAAAGGGAGCTTTCTAAAAGTCTAAGCACAAGAAGGTAAAAAGCTACCTAGATATAATATTTCTTATGAAGTACAAACTTAATTCCTGAAGTATTGGCTGATTGAAATATTTATGGATATGAAGATTCCCTGCCCCACAGCAGCCAAAACAGGAGGAAACTTACAGCATTCAACAGGTATAGATGCAACTTGAAGGGACAAGACCTTCCCACTAGGCTGTGGGATATGGACACGAAATACAAGCCTCACTCTTGTGTTTTTTCTGCCAATATCCGTCTCCCCCTTCCGAAGCTCTATGTCTGAATTGCGGAGTTTCAGAATACCTGCACAGTCAATACTGGAGAAAATAGAAAACACAGACCAAGTGTTATCTAATTAAACATGCATTTTTCTTGTTTAAATATCTGCAAACATAAAAGTCACCCATTTATAGCAATAGCACTTAGACTTATACGGTCAAACTCCACGTTGTGGGCAGAGTTAGCCTGCAACACTGCATTCTCACCACTGCGCCACCAGGGCTGCTTATCATGTTAGACTGCAAGCCGGACATTGTACCTTTGTACTAGAACAAGTGGGAAGGTATTTATTTTGTTTGCAGCAATCAGGCATGGAGCTGCAGGGGATAAAAATCTCAGCCAGCTGCTGGCAGTACAAGCAATCATATAATTCTGCTTGGTGTTTAGTCTTAGAGCTCATCAGACGTAGCACAATGCTGCAGGCTGGACAGAGAAAGAGTGAAAAGGCACATCTCCAGGGCTCATCTGAAAGGATTGTGACTATAGATGACTGACAGAGGTTAACTGCAGAACATCTGTGAATTATTTGCAAAATAATTCTCTTGAAAACCACATCTAGCAAAAATGGATCACTTCTTACGACAGCTGATCACCAGTTTTCAGGTATCATTTTTTAAAAAACATCTCAATAAAAAACATATATAATAAACTGACCCTCCCTGGGTCAGTCAGCATCAGATGTGCAAAAGCATTGCTTGCAGAGTCATAAACGCTCTCATTTCACATTCTCCTTCTTACAAATGAGGGCAAATGAGTCTCCCTCGTCCTTATTCAAACAAGCCATAGCTTAACAATACCTGCAAATACAGCAAGCAATGTTTGTGCAGACCGGGGGCAGACGAGAGGAGTGGGAATAGAAAATAAAGGGTGAAAGAACAGACACGATACAGCCAAATGTGTTTTGGAAAGCCATCAAAATTATATTGGAATAAATCCATTTTAACCTACCTTACTCTGCTGATCTTAGTACTTCACTACCTCAGAGAAAATACTTTTTTTTCCCTTATTTTGAACAGACCTGACCTTTTTTTAAGAATCAACATTAGTTCAAGGATTACAGACAAATATTAATGGGCGGGTGGGTGAGGGGGAAGGAGTTGTTATGAATGTGTCTGCAGGTCAGTGAAGAGTTGCTTCAGAGAGTTGCAAATAATCAAACACAAACTAAAACTAAGACCTTCTGTTATAATCTTTGTGCATGTTTTTGTGAACGTGTCAGTGTGTGAGTGTGTATTGTGCATACACGAGCATGTACATATATCTACACTACACAACTAATTCTAGGATATAAAGGCCACCTGAAGCTGCATAATTTTATTCGTACTGCATCATGAAGCACCTGCACTCCAGCCAAGCATCTTTGTTTTCTTAATGGGTCCACTTCAAGCCTCAAGAATCCCACCCCAAACAGAAGTTGCAAAGAGCTGCGCTCGAAAGCTGATATATAAAGATTACAGTTTAATATGTTATAATCAGTATCACGTATCCCGAAACCCACGAAAGCCTATGAAATCTGGGATACAACATATGGATTTGCCTGGCAGAATCCTCAGACTTACCAGGCTGACATATTGTTTTCGGGTAAAAGAGGAATTTCCAAAACCTTTGTGCTGGCAAGGATTATTTCTTGACTAGCTGTGGCAACAGTTTTTCCTGTGATTCTGTGCACTTGGTAGAAAGCATGTGGCCGTAAGTACCGATCGTCTGCTGTCCCAATGAACATCTGAAGATTTACAGGTTTTTCATTGTAACCTAGGAGCTGATAAGAAACAAAAAAAAAACCTGTTAAAAATTAACGATTAGCTTTTCAGAGTGAAAGTGTTAAAATTGCAGACATGGCTTCAGATACAGATGCGTATTTGTAGCATATTTGCTTCCACCCCCAAAAAAGGTTCACAAGTATATGCCTATAATAAGAAAAATTTAAATGGCAAAATCTTACAATCAAACCACTCTGCTGCACTTGGCAGTCCTTAGGCTTTTAGAATTATGTCACACAAATAATTTATTATTATACAATGCTATGGTTTCCTTTTCTAAAAATAATTTTATTGATTTTTTTACCTTGTTCATAGTGTTGATTTTTACCTAGGTCCAACCTAGAATTAGAGAGATGTTTCCTGTCAGTGAGAACAATTCATCAGTGGAATGGCTTGCTTCCAGAAGTTGTGGATGCTCCATCACTGGAGGTTTTTAAGAAGAGATGTGGGCAGCCATTTGTCTCCAGCTTAAGCCGGGGGGTCGATTAGAAGACCCCCCAACATCTCTTCCAAATCAGTTATTCAGTTACCTTAGAAATTCTAACTAATTGGCATCCCTAAATATTTTAGGTATCACTCCTACATATGCAATCCCCAATAATTTACCTAAAACCATTAAACAAACTCTTTTTTTAATTAAAAAAAAAGTAAAATACTATAATAGGAGGCTTATCTTTCACTCGAAAAGATTTTGTGGTGAAACAACCTTTCTACAAGTCAAACTGGGTCCATCCTGTTGTTGTTGTTAGTTGCGAAGTCGTGTCCGACCCATCGCGACCCCATGGACAACGTTCCTCCAGGCCTTCCTGTCCTCTACCATCTTCTGGAGTCCATTGAAGCTCATGCCTACTGCTTCAGGGACTCCATCCATCCACCTCATTCTCTGTCGTCCCCTTCTTCTCTTGCCCTCAATCCATCCTATTGCAGTCTATTGGGAATGTGGTGGCTCATGTGGTCAGGATGCTGGGGTGAGGATTGGCAGGCTTGTGTTTGAGACCCGGTTAGTGCCTTGTGGTGGGGTGAGCTCTCATCATTCACTCCAGCTCCTGCTGACCCAACAATTCAAAAGTGGGCAACCATGGTAGATAGATGGGTACTTCAGTGGGCAACTTAACAGAGTCAACAAAGGAGCTCCCAACTGCGCATCTCCTGAGCAATGGTGATGTCACCGGTTGATCCTTTCACCGTGGAAGTAATGTGGGGCAGTAAAAAAAAAAAAAAAAGGGTAAGGACCGGGTATCCCTCCAGGGGTTTGAAGCTACCAACTTTCACATTCTGTTTCCATTGGCTATGATGAATGAGACTGATGGAATCCAAAACAGCTGGAGGAGGCCAGATTGCCTCACCCCTTAAACAGAAGCCTGGTGACTTTGCTTGCCAAGCCTTTTGAAGATTTTTGACGAACTGCTTCCTGATCTGTTCTAATGTAATTTAGCAGTGGTTTTTAAGTTATAATGTTATTTGGGGAAACTGCACTGGAAAAAAGAACTCGGTTGATGCAAATGCGAGCGGCAATAAAATGCATTAAATCTGTCAAAATCAAAACCATCAAGGTACAATCCCACACGGAAACCGTTTCGATCGTTCAAACAAAAGTCCCGTTCTGAATTGCAACATTTAATTTAAATGTAATTCAATTCAGCTCTTAATTACCGAGGAAAATCCTTCCTCCATTTCCAGCTCAATCATATTCATATTTGGTGAGAAGCATCAATACTCAATTAAGAGCACCCAGAATCACTACCAAGCCTGCTTCGTAGCAAAGTCATCTGATTTTTTTTAAAATATATGTATACTTTTTATTAAGAAATTTGATTACAATAATTGATGATACAGTAACTGTCTCCTCCCTGCCTTTCTGGAATGTGTTCCTTTCTTCCTAAAAAGCTGCTGCTTCACTCTAATCCATCATACCACTTGTCCGAAATGGTATAGGGTTTCCTGCCTGAGCAGGGGGTTGGACTAGATGACCTCCAAGGTCCCTTCCAACTTTATTATTATTATTATACCAGCTCCCCCCCATCATATCTCACAGCATCAGAGGCTTCACTTCTAATAACTCCAAATAAGAAAAAACTGCCCTTTTAAAAAGTAATAATAATTAAAGGCAGCCCAAGATTACACTCTGCGCTTGTAGATAGCAATAAATTGTGCATTTAAAAAAAAATCTACTTGTGTTTTTTCAAACTAGTGGGAACAGTCAGTACTGGCTGTTATTGAAATTGCCCAGATTGATTAGCTTTAATTATAAAACTCATTGGGATATCCTGGATTAGCTAGTGGCTCTCAAAATCTCAACATAAAATGGGAGCAGACAGAGAGCATCAGCCTAGCTATAGGATCCAGAAGATCAAAGAGAGCTGTTGCTTTGCCTAAATCAGTGGTTCTCAACCTTTTTAATGCCGCGACCCCCAACCGGTCGTAAGTCGAGGACTAAACCTGTCGTAAGTCGAGGACTAAACCGGTCGTAAGTCAAGGACTACCCAACCGGTCGTAAGTCGAGGACTTTCCCTGCCCGGGAGCGCCGCGCATGCGTGGTTCCGCCCCCTGCGCCGGCCGAGGCGTAGCTGGCAAGCGGCAGAGACAGAGCAGGCCGACCACCAGCTGGCCCAGCCCAAGGGAGGTAAGGCACCCGCCGGAAAAGGGGAAAAAAATGGCGGACAGCCTTGCTTGGCGACCCCCGTGAAATGTTCGATCGACCCCAAATGGGGTCGCGACCCATAGGTTGAGAACCGCTGGCCTAAATGGTTCTGAAAGCCCAACATCCCAAATCAGCACCTCGTGGTCAGCCATTAAGAACATGTTGTCTTATATATTAGTAGAACCAGCAAAAAACTTCTTGGCTTTTCAGGAATTTAGAGTGTATATTTTCTTCCTGCTACAAACAAAGCTATCTTCCATTCCCAAATATAATACAGCAGCTATGTATTATTATGTGCATAATGGCATATTCTCATCATCTACCAAAACTGAACAGATGTGGTGTTTTATTTTTCCCCATCATATTTATAAATTGAGTTCCTTCTCTCATTTTAACTGGGTTTGCTGTAATTCCATTAATCTCTCAATGAAACTTCCCCATCTCGGGAACGTCCATATTTTCCTTTCATATATGCCCTAACAATGGTGGCAGTGAAGAAAATACAATACGAAAAAACGACCAACTAATTTATCGTTAGTGAATTTATCAAGCATAAATTACTCAGATTGCAGAAACATTTTTATATTCCTTGGGGGTCAGTTGTGACCCCCTCCTCCCACAATCCACAAATAACCTGTCAAATCACAAAAACCTAAGGAAATGATACAGTGATGAAAAGTGAACTGAAAACTCCTTATGAATGAAGTTTAATATACCTAATCCCAGGATGTGTAGACTTTTACTTCTCAATAGATAGGAAATAATAGCAGGAGCCCTTTTTTTTCCTGAGACTCTGAGATCCTTACAGTAGCTACTGTCCAATCTCTCTGGCCTGATTTAAGACACTTTTATATTTAACAATTTCCCCTGCCAAAACGTATCCCGGTTCAGGGGAGGTCTTCTGGTTTTGTTTTGAACAGACTATGTCCTCCCACTTTTTGTTTAAAAAAAGAAATATGGCAGTTGCACGTTGACTGTGCAATCCAAAATATTAGTACAAACGGGGCCTTGATAAACCTTCCAATGGATACTATATTAAATGGCTGATATTAAATACCGATCTGCGTCCTTTACGCCGACACTACACTCTAGCGGTTGTGTTACAAAAAGGGAACCGAACATGTTTAAAATACATTTACAGTTCCTGCAGTTGCCCAAATATAGGCATGCTCGTGTGCAATGTATTTTTATTCCATAAATATAATCCCATACTCTTCACACAAGGCATCATGCGGGAATATTGTAAATAATGAAAAGTTACAGCACCATCTCCATGAGTGACCTCTAAAAACCCTCCGCCAGTAACTATATACTGTGACACACAACCCACTGCTTTGCCGATGAAGCTCTGCCAAGCTGTGTGTGTTTCTGTATCGTTTCCATAGCAAAAGTCCGTGTATGCGTAAGTTACACTAAAGCTGGAAGGCTAAGGAGAGAAGGTCACTACAGGATAAGCTACAATAGCCGCTCTCTAAAACACCTCTAATTGTGGCAGAGTGTTGTCACAGGCGGGTTTCCTTAAATGTGGATGCAAGGCAGAAATAACAAATGAGGTTAGGGAAAGGAGACTTTATTTACTTTTTCACATTTTCAACCTTTCTCTGAAGCCAGTGCCTTGCAACTCATTTCAAGGTCAAACTTTTGGCTACCTCAGCTAACAAGCTATTTTAGCATGGTGTGACCCATTCCTTAATGGAGCATTAACAAACCCCTTCCTCGACTGAATTGGGTGGGTGCCTGTTAAGCAGTACGTGGCATAATCCATCACGCTTATTAGCACCACAGATTAATGCAACAGCAATATCCCAAATTTTAAAAGGCAAGGATTTTCTTTCTGGGCAAACAGAAAGTGTTTGCTTTTCATTTGTCCTTCTGACTGTATTTGCCCTTCTTTGATCTTGAGCTGCTTTTTGTTTGCAGTGCATAAGCAGAGAGATCAAAGGAATTGTGGATAAGGGAAATGAGAACATGTGTTCTGATCTGATGTAAAAAGCAATCTGCAAGGCGGGCCCAGCACTTGCTTTCGACTGGGGCACTTTTGTAATGTAATCAGCGAGTGCTAATCAACGTTCCAGATTCAAATTCCCCTTCTAGATGTCTAGAACATCTCATAAACTCACCTAAAACACATCAATAATGGAGACAATGGAGAAAAAAAGCGAGTTATAATTCAAGCATCATTTTGGCTGGGCAGAAAATATCTCATGACCAAATACAGCAGTCCCTAATCTATATCTTTCTTATATATATAAATAAAAATGTAAATGTTCGTTTGTTCAAAATCTTAAAATCTCCAAACGTTCTTCACCGATTGCTTTGAAATTTTGACACAACGTTGCATTCGAACACGCGCGTGTTTTTTATACCTATATTATATAGATGTCACACCTGTGACAGGTAAAAACATGCTTTTTTAAAAAAACAGCGCCATCTGTTGGACGTAAAAGCAACACACGCTTTTACCCGACTGAGCCACAGCAACGCGTGGCTGGGTACAGCTAGTATTAAATAAAAGACTTACCTGTACTTCAGACTTCTATATCATAAACTTCTACAATTAGAATAGAATCGAGCTGGAAGGGACCTGGGAGGTCTTCTAGTCCAGCCCCCTGCTCAAGCAGGAGGACCTACACCGTCTCAGATAGGTGAATGTCTAGTCTCTTCTTAAAAACCTTCAGTGATGGGGCGCCCACAAATAGATACTTTGAGTTACTGTCCACAATTCAGCTTGAAACGTCTGTCGTTAAGCGAGACAGTTGTTAAGTGAGTTTTGCCCCGGTTTACGACCTTTGTCGCAACAGCTGTTAAGCGAATCACTGCAGTTGTTAAATTAATAACCGGTTGCTAAGCGAATCTGGTTTCCCCACTGACTTTCCTTGTCAGAAGGTTACAAAAGCGGAATCACATGACTTCGGGACACTGCAACTATTATAAATATGAGAAAGTTGCCCAGTGTCTGGATTTTGATCATGTGACCAAGGGGACGATGCAACGGTCGTGAAAAAAGGCCATCATAACTTTGAACGGTCACGAAATGGACTGTTGTAAGTCGAGGACTACCTGTGTAAGGCAGCATTAAAGAAAAAAAAATCATCTTGAAAACACGCATGCCAGTCAGGAAATAGCAAGCTAACATTAAACATTAGGGTTCCAAATAAAGCAGTTCCGTCAGAATCGCTCTGTCAATTCTCCTGCAAACTCTCCAGCTATCAGCGAGGTATTTCAAACTGGCTAAATTCCAATCCCGTACATACAGATTCCAACCACCAAAAAATCCCAGTGGACATGTATGTGGGGCAAGGGAAAATGTAGGTTCAAATGCAAAAAATGGGAAAACGAAAGAAAAGCAGAATGGATTTTGCGAAAAGCTATTTTTTATTTATTTTGGTAAATAGTAACAGGGATGAAAACGGAGAAAAGGGGGCAGCAGTTGACGCTCTAATTCCAACAATCTCTTTTCGAGACGCTCAAGAAAAGGCTACTTTTAAATTTTAAGAAACGTGCACGTAGCAGGTGTGTTTATGAAACTTACATCATTCCTATTTAGCCCTAAAATAGAATCCGGTTATGGAGCTTTTAGACATCTCTAGAGAGAAAAATAAATGAGATGAATAACCACCAAAAAAGCAAGAGCAACTGGAGATAAAATCCACTTTGCAGCACTATATCAAAATTATCTGAAGAATGAACACTAAATGTGACAGAAAGCTGATAAATAAAGGAACTGTTTGAACATATAACAAAGAACTGAGATAAGGAATGTGCTACATTCAATTCTTAGTTAGAATTTCCATAAGTCCTCCATTACACTTCTGGTTACCTATCAAGCAGTTTACACTAGGTTATCTTGTTTTACAATACTTTTTTCTTTTTCTGCTGACATACCAAGCCCTCACTTGCACACAACAAAGCAGGAGAAATGTGGTATTGCACTAACTGTTTCTCAATTAACTAACATATCACAAGCTTTCTCCCTGACAGATTTTTTTCAATGATTCATTGAACAGTAAAAATCAAACCTGCATAACACTTGTCCAACATCAAAGTTCACTGTGCTTCTCAAATCTGGGTCACCGTTACATCTTGTACATTTTCTCCAGACACTCTAAAGAAACTGATCTGCATAAAGAGTTTGCATTTGCATCAGGGTTGAAGGATAAAGAAAAAAGGACCAGAAATCCTCAGTGCAAATCTTTGAATACCTTTTCAGCTATCTTCTTGAACAGAATGGGTCAAATGTTTGATAAAATTGAAAGAGTACGTTCTAATCTAGCTGCAAAACGTAACTGCAATAAATCTCTAATTTAAAAAAAAAGTTTTATAAAAGTGATTTGTTAACAATTCTAATGGCCACATTATGTTGCTGATTCATATTAGTTGCATGCCCATTAAGATTTCTTATTTATTGTATACTTGCACCTTTAATTTCTTGTACTTAATCTAAAACCTAGCTTTTTTTTCTCTGTTGAATTTTATCTTGGGTGTTGCAACTCTTTTTTTCCACCTTCGAAAGCCTTTAAAAATGTGAGTCTGTTTTCAAGAGCGTTGGTAAGCCTTTCTGCCTCTGTGGTGTATCCACCTCCTCTGCCACATTATCTATTTTAATGCACAGGGAAGATTGACACAGATCAATTAATGACCATATGCTTACTACAGTAGTTGCTTTATCATCCATTTGCTCCATCTATTGTAGCAAACTTAAACCCCTTATCAACACGGGTAGTCCTCAAGTTGCGATCACAATTGTGTCCAAAATTTCTCTTGCTTAAGGCAAGACAGTTATTAACTGAATTTTGCCCTGTTTCATGACCTTTTTTGCCACAGTTGTTAAATGAATCACTGCAGCTGTTACGTTAGTAACATGCTTGTTAAGTGAATCTGGTTTCCCCATTCATTTTGCTTGTCAGAAGGTTGCAAAAGGGGATCACGTGACCCTGGGACTCTGCAATTGTCATAAATATCTGCCAGTTGCCAAGCATCTGAAATTTGATTATGTGACCACGGTCATAAGTGTGGAAAACAGTCATAAGTCACTTTTTTCCAGTGCCGTTGTAACTTTGAATGGTCATTAAATGAAGTAAGTCAAGGACTACCTGTAAGAAAGCCACTTTAAAAAAAACAAAAACAAACCAGAGGTTGTTAAATGCTTTGCTAGTATAATATTAAAGAACTATTCTAAGCCATTCTCATTATCTGAGACTAGGGCCCTGGCCTGGAATATTTTTTTTCTAAGAAACCTTTAATTCTTGTAACCAATAAAACGACTCACACATGAACATTGGTATCTTATTCTAAAAGGCTGCCATTTTTGCAGGCTTTCTGAAATTTCCCACACTCCTATTTCTCCCATTTTTGAAGTTGGAGACATAAATTATTCTCCAATGTTTCTCATACATTATAGATAATGATTGTGAAATAATATTTGCAAGCTCTTTCGGTACCTAAGTGTATAATCAAACTCTTAAGAGGCATGAAATCATCTCTTTGCTTATAATGGGTACAAATCATTCTTTAGGTTGGCAAAGCTTCTCTTTGCCACAGTTAACATCAAATTTAATTTTTTTGAGCATCATCTTCCTCAAACATTATCTTCCTTTTAATATAGCCAAGGAAGCACCTGTTCTTACTTTCTTATCATTCACAACTATTGTTCGTGTCGAGCTTTGGTCTTTTCCAATATTTTTATTTGGAAAATATTTGTCAAGAAGTCAGGAATTACAAGTTTATTTCATGCTACCTATATGTAAGAATCTGATCTACTAATGGCCAAGGCAAATTGACACCAGGTAAGAACGGACTTCAAGGGGGGCTGGACTTAGGACCTAGAGATGCCAAACTGATGATGCATTTGACCCCAACCTCAGGCTCAACCTAGTCATTTCCTACAATACTCTAATAAAAGAAGCAGCATTTGATTTTCTAATTTCTTTCAGTTATTATATAACAATGTAGCTCAGATATGGACACAGTCCCAAGCTCACGGATAAGGAAATAAACTCCAGTGAACAGAACTGAACTTATTTCCAAGTACGGTAAAGTTGTACTGGATTATGTATTAAACCTAACAAATTCAGTGCAGTATGTCTAAAAGCCCATGCCTACGCCAAAACTATGCACCGTGTACAAAAATACTGTCTGCAATCAGTAGCTATTTTAATGTTTGCCTAAATATTACATACCGTGTTAATGTTTAGCACATACAAACTAAGTATTTGTTTGGCATTCACCTACTTACCTCGTTTTACGCTCAAGGGACCATGTGCTTTATACGCTAGTTTATACCTAATGCCTTACTTAAGCATTATGAAAACAATATTCAACCTCCTGTTAACGCACATAAGTAGAAAGGCAATAAATGTGTTGCCTGCTGCTTCTCCAATAAACCCAAAGCCAGCACCCTACTGCTAAATACCATTTGTGTGCAGACTATAATCATGATTTCTCTATCACATGTTGGAACAAGGGAAAGAGTATCACAGTAATAAAAGTGCACTTGCTCCTGGAAACACCCACCATTTGCACTGCAGGGGTAATACAAGTCTTCTAATGCCCACACAAAATATGCACAAATCAGAATTCTGGGTTTTCATTCGTAGCAAGCATACTACTGTGCGCAAGAATGACTTCAGCTTAGTGTTATGTCCAAATTTCTTGTCATTTCCAAGCAAGCCATAAATTATCAATAAGTAAACCAGTAGCTTCTGATACTGTGAGCAGCCAACAAGGAGATCTGACTGTGTTCCTAGAAAATGAAGTTATTTTAAATGAAGTCTAATAACAGAAACAGCAAGTTAGGAGCAATTAGCAGTCCTACCTGCTCATGAATAATAAGCCAGCACTCATCAGAGTTCTGACACAATTCTTTCCAAACACTGTTCATTCCTGTAGACAATTATTTTTATTATAACCAAGAACATGTAGGTATAAAGATATTTGGGGATGACCTTGGAAATAGGAGAAAGACCATTGCTTAGGCTGCAGAGTCCTCATCCTGCCCCCCCCCCCCAAGGCCATTCCCAAATACCATTACAACAGGGAAAATGTGGTTCATAGAAAAGGCACATATTAGCATCTCTTACCTTCACTACAGGATGTCCACCAGTAGATGCTTTTACTGCTCCTCTGCTGCCTTCTGTCTCATAATGTGCTCTGTGATGGGTTTTTGGCTGTACTTCTATTTTCAGCTCGCATTGCCCATATTGCGTGGGTAAAGGCCAGTCTAGAGGCGGCAATGAAGATGTGCTAAAACCAAGAAGTGCATATATTTCAATAGATATTCATGTAATATTGTTCTATCCTCCCTTTCAATGTTTTTTTGGGAGGCGGCCCTATAAATGCAGTAATAAAGCTGTGCAGTATTTTAAACAAAGCGAAAACAGACTGTCTTTTCCATGTTAAAATGTTATTTTGTTTTAAAATAATTCAATTATTGTTTTATATTAACAAATATTAGACTAATGATCAGCAAGGAGAAAGCAGATGTGAAGAACCAAGAAAAAAAAACAGAAAAAAATTTGCATCAACTGTTTTCCCCCCAGACTCTTAATAGCTCTCCTACGCATGAAGAGGCACAGTTATGGCTAAAACTCCAGTACAAAAGCGTGACATATTTCATAAACCTGCACTATCTCCACGCATGATACTCTGCATGACCTAACTCATAACTTTCCAGAAGCATTTAAGCCCTTTGTCAAGCATACCAAAGTGAACTATCTGGGGAATTCCTTTCATCCAGTTTTACTATCCCTCTACAAAGATCCAATATGAATTGCAGTATTGTCGTTATACACACATTAAACATGTGTTAATGGAACATCAAGCCACAGACCAGCTATACACAGGATTCTTACTGCAGGAAAGATAAATATTAAAAATAAAAAAGATTAGCTAACAAGCTAGGATTTAAGCACATTGTATTGTGATCACATGAGAAAGCGCCTAATGCAATCTTAGTAAAGGAGGCAGATAATCCTGTCAAGTCCATTTTTTATAGAAAGAGTGTAAACACAATGTGGCATGAACAGTGAGCTTGCATTTAAATTCTGATAGTTAGCAGGAAGAACCATTACTGAAGAACATTTCACACTACGGGACCACTTTACGGAGAAGCCATTCTGTATTATTCCAAAATATTTATGACTAGGTTGTAAGACTCCTATTTCTGAAGTAATGGAAAGAATACTGCTAATGAATGTATATAACCCTTCTTCCAGAGCATAAGCAGACACTAGCTATCAATAATCTACTGAATCTGTACAAGATCGACTTTCCCCTCAATAGATCCTAAACTGCTACAGCTTGCTTTCATAGTTGTCTGGTTTATTTAAACTTAACTTCTAAAGTTAAGCGATGTCCTCCTTATTTATATCACAATCACCAGAGGGTTTTGCCAGGTTAGAAGTAGAATTACTAACGTACTTCTTCCCTAATCAAGGGACTAGTCAATCATTCACCCTTTTCCAAACTGCAGAAGATGGAAAATCAAGGAGGATTTCAAATATATCTTTAAAAAGAAAGCAGGGGAAGGGGGGGTGTTGTCATCTGGGCTGCTAGGGCATGAAATGTGAAAGATGATCCAAGACCTGCTTTATAAACTAGTGTAAAAAAGAGCACTGGTACAGATATAGTAGCTGTATTAATAGTAATACGTGATATTCACCACTGCTTCTTCCTGTGAAATATCAGCAAAAGGAGAATGGAACATACAAAAGGTCAAAAAAAGTCAATAAAAACTAAACTTATAAACAAACAGAGGTACAAAATGGATTTGCCAATAACTAGGATGTCAAACCAGGTTGTTTTCATAGAGGAGGCCCTGTTCTTAATATAACTATTAGGTATGGCATCCATGTGGCCTTATTGCTATTAATATTTCTTGTGCCCAAGATTAGAGAAATCTGTGGTGATTGGCTGCTGTACTACTGAGAAAGTGATAATTAAATTGAAACCGATACATTAAGTTATGCAAAACAAACAAAACATTCCTTAGATCATTGAACTGATTCTTTTCGATAGCTAACTAATGGACTGTACAAATCAAAGATACGTTAAGTTTAGGTCTAAAAGCAACCCTCGCATAACGTTTAAAAGGAAATTAATCAGTAAAGCCTTCATTTAAAAGGAGGATATGATCTGGCCAAGTAAAAACAGTAAGTTGTATGCAACATACTGTTTTTGTTTTGTTGCAAACACTTGCACATCACTGTACCATTTTAGTTAGCTATGGTTAGTACTGAAAGAAGTTGTTTACAATTGCTACAATTGCTAAATTGAGCTTCAGCAAAGTATCTGGGGGGGTTTGAATAATAATAATAATAATAATAATAATAATAATAATAATAATGATGATGATGATGATGATGATGATGATGATGATGATGATGATGATGATGATGATAAAGTTGGAAGGGACCTTGGAGGTCATCTAGTCCAACCCCCTGCTCAGGCAGGACACCCTATGCCATTTCAGACAAATGGCTGTCCAGTCTCTTCTTAAAAACTTCCAGTTTTGGAGCATTCACCGCTTCTGGAGGCAGATTGTTCCACTGGTTAATTGTTCTAACTGTCAGGAAGTTTCTCCTTAGTTCTAGGTTGCTTCTCTCCTTGATGAGTTTCCACCCGTTGCTTCTCGTCCTGCCTTCAGGTGCCTTGGAGAATAGCTTGACTCCCTCTTCTTTGTGGCAGCCCCTGAATGGTCAGCTACAAAATTGTTCCCACTATTGTGAACACTAAAGAAGCTCTCATAGGCTTGCTAAACCAGGGTTGTTCTGCCAAAGTCTGCCAGCATAAGAAACAAACTGTTCGAAACAGTATCAGTTGCTCAAAACCAATAGTTATGAGAGATCTTTCATCTTTCTGAAGTTTTTCTTAAACAGACCAATTTTGAAGAGTTTAAATACTTGCCGAGTTACTTTTGACTGATACTGGAAACTTTAGCCAAGTTAAACGTTGAGGTTTGAAGAACTGATTAGCAACTAGCTATTCAGCACAGGTTTAACTCGGTCCGTTTCAACCACGATCAGAGATGATGGAACCATGATGCAAAAATGTCAGGAGGACTCAGCTAGGAAACACAGACGTGATGAAATACAAGAAACTCCTGCTTCATAGGAATCTAGGAGAACTGAATTGTGGCTTTAAAATCAAAAGGCAATGTTTAATGATTCAATGTTTTATCGCAAGTTTAAAATGTTAGTATGTTTGCCACTAATAAGGAACCGAATTAAAAGAAACACTAGGCGAACAAATATAGCTGTGTGTAAATGTTTTAAGTTCTTAATATCTATATAGTTTTAAATGTTTATTTTTCTAAGACATATGTAGGCACTTTGAAAGTCCTCAACTTGTATGAGCACTTATCCCTTGGTCAACAAATAAATTCGTAGGCTAAGTTTACTCAACATAGCTGACTAATTTATATACATGATTGGTGAATAATCTAGATATTAATTTTTTTGTTCAGGTTTCTTTCTGTAGACACAGCTACTAATAGCTTTCCATTGTAACGTCACAGGAAATATTTGAATTGCTAAATCAAAATTTGGAGTACTGTTTAAAAGGCTTATTTGAACACTCTGCAAAGCCTAGCCTGAATGGACTATAAAAGAAACAGCACTAGATTCATTTTCTTTAACCAAAAAAATACTTAGAAGTTAGTAGCCAGGATTGTTTTTTCCTGATTGCCCATTTCTTTTCCACTGCGAACTTTCCTTCTCTTCTTTCCTTCTAGTATCTTCCAATAGTCTTTTTTTTTTTAAACTAAAGAGCAATTAACAATTTTTAAAATAGTAAATAACTGTTAACTCCCTGCACACTTCTGATAAAAGGAGAACATCTGTTAGGTATCACTTGTGGTACTCCCCCTTGCTTATCACACACAAATCTCTTTTGAACTTTCTATATTTGGGGAGTGAAGAAGAGGAAAAGGAGAAAAGAAAAAATGTTGATAACTTTACAGGGAGTCAAAAACCAGACTGCTCAACGGCAGAGGAGTAACCCACTAAACTTGGTTAGTTTTAATTTTACAGGATTGAGGGAGGGGGATTTAGCCTTTGGTATGAAACTAACCTCGTGATTATAGTTCTGTTATGTGAAACTCCAGAATTAGGTTAATGGAGTAAAACCAGGGATGTGGTAATGATAGTTTTGCTATCAACACAGTCTGTGCACATTTAACAGAATCCTAATAGAACAGTAGATATCCTCCAACGTGCAGAACAGAAAATAAAATGCCACATACGGACCGATACTTTCCAAATTCCACCATGTTCAAAGAGAATGCACATAAAAAAATACAAATGCAGAGTTTGCATATATTACTGTTTTAAATGCAAAGCCTACGGACGCTGCCTTTTGAGTCTTAAGACAGAATGTTCAGTTCTGTAGCCTGTTTTCGAAGGCAACCCCACCACTATTTCTGAAAACAACTGAAACTGCTGATTTTCATCTCTAAGCCCATCAAGTTTCAGAAAACCTTCTGCCAGAGATCCGGCAAGTGGGCGGCTTCAGATAAAGATGGCTTCTTGGGTGAAAACTCAGTTCTGGAATTCTCTCCACCGTGGTTACGTCTTATACTTCCATTAAAATGAACTGACTTGCTCTTATGATTCAACAGAGCTTTTCAAAAATTGGTACTCTCAAGTAGTTGAGACCATTCAGTGAGGCAAGTTATGCTGAGAGAGACAAAAAAGCCACTGAGCATCTCCAGAAGCGGTGAATGCGCCAACAGTGGAAGTTTTTAAGAAGAAACTGGACAGCCATTTGTCTGAAATGGTATAGGGTTTCCTGCCTGAGCAGGGGGTTGGACTAGATGACCTCCAAGGTCCCTTCCAACTTTATCATTATTATTATTATTATTATTGTTATTGTTATATGGCTGAGGGTGAACTTGGACCTGGGTCGCCTCGCTCATAGTCCAATACCTTCACAATTAACACCACACTGGGCCTGTGTGGAAACCACAACTGTCCAAAGACAGAAGCCAGAACGTTTTCTTGGAACAAGAATAAGAACCACAATTTACTAATTTCCATTTTCTTTCATTTCCTTTCTTTGATATGGATATATACACCGTTTGTTTTCTTTTCTTTTGTAATGCATTTGCTAAACAATCCTGTTCCATATTCTCTAATAAAAAGATGCTATTCCCCCCCTTTTTTTTTTTTTTTTTTTGCCTGCAGGCTGCAGCTTTAAACCATAAGTTTTATCTGTGCCTGATGCTTTTCTGTTTGACAGCTGGCTTT